AGTTTATTTGGATGGCATGTACTTGTTGTAAGTTGCAAGTCTTTGTAATTCACTGATCATGCCATAGCTGATGTTGAAAACAATATTCCAATGACAAAAATGTATCAGAAGGTTCAGGTTGCTTTCCATCATGGCGGGTGCCCTTTTGATCTACCTTATTCACAGACTGTAGCCTATCTGCCATTGGGGGCACTCTAATCATAACGCTACGTCAAGACAACTGAAATTGTGGGTAGATCCTTTTCGATTTGATTAAAGACTTCCATGATCATCACAACGTTCAGTTTCCACTATAGCCAGGGATATTTTAAACAGTGCAGTTGTAATTGTTGTTAAATAACCGAGAATCCTTCATTAGGCCAAAAAAACAATAACTTATGTTGCCCTCAAGTCGGAAAATTGAAAAATTGGGTCGGTCGGTCAGACTTTTTTTTTTTTTTTAAACTCGTGAAAACTAAGGGTATCAGAAATAGCCAGGGGTATATGGAAAAAAAAAAACGCGACCCGATATTTCATAATATTTGGTCGGTCGCTGGAGGCAACAAAACAATTTTTTTTTGGCCTTACATATTTTGCCACTATTTTTGTACAACAGACAGCAGTTGTCTACTTTTTAATAATATTGATTTTCTTGTTTAAATTATTTAGGCCATGATTTGTGTTTTCGCTCTAAATAATAAAACTAAACGTAATACGAAAAATGAAAAAATTATGAATAAATTATGTAAATTATGTGTTAATTTTTACTGTAGAATACTTTTTTTTCGCTTGGAATTTATTTTCGCTGAAGGGATGATTTCGTGAAAATAAAATCCACCAAATATACTTTTTTTTGCTATATTTCACATTAAACTCATCGGAAATCAGTGAAAATAAATTCCATACAAAACGCCTTTTCAGTGAAAATTAATTCCAGCTAAAATAAAGTATTCCACACTAACAGTATGTAAATTAGCCACCATCCTTGATCAAAATTAGAGGGGAAAACATACATATTCATCATGTAATAGTTATATCCATCTTGTAATATTTTTATTGCCATAATGATAATTTTAGAGAGGCAAAATCTTTGATAATTCAATATCTACGGTCAGGAATTCCAATGAATGAGATTCAATTTCACAGCAAGTTTTAGGATTTGTAAGTTATCATTACATGTAAACATGTCAATATTTGTGCAATCAAACACAGCCTGTTGAATCTCACAAGTCACTTACTGGTGGCGCACATGCGCATAGAACTACAGTTTTGCAAGATGGCTATCAAATTTACTATCTAATTAGCAAACTAGCTAACTGATTTGCAAAAACCTTGGCATGTACACTTGGAAGAACGGTTTGGGATTGTGTGGGATTTCGACCTGTATCATTATCTGAGAAGGTTGGATGAGAACACGCATAAATAAACTTGATAAATGCATAATGTGACATATTAATGTACACAATCAATGTAGTAATTCACATATTAAACTATTTATTTGAAATGAGAAGAATTTGTATGCCAAATTGTTGTTAAAATACATAATATCGATTTTCATAAACCTGTGCTCCCTGTGGAAAGACCACTCTCCCAAGGCAGGTTGGTTGGGGAAACCCCGGAACTCAAAAGATAAACTTGTATTCAGTAGTTCTACTCAGTAGTTGCTGTAAAAATGCATCCCAGAAAACACAAGACAGTGTTATTTCATTGTTCTTAAGTAGACAAAGTCTGGCAGAAATCGCACAGCATCAAATATTTTTTTTATCAAAAAGGGTTCAAAGTAAATTTTAAAATGAAGACATAACAAGTCCAAGTTGTTGCCAAATCATTAGAATGTAATCCTCCCTTGACAGTATTTTGTTTGGTTGAAATTGAAAAATCAATTTTGTTCTTCAAGCCAGTTTCACGGGACGGTGTACAGAAATATATACTCTCTTTATGTTTACCACTATGCGAATAAAGAGTGGCACCGCATTGTTAGGGTCCGTCCTGTACACCGACGCAACAGTTTTACGGTCAGACGAAGCCCTACCCGGACCACAGTGCCACAAAACCACGGCTATACCTATTGTAGCATGCCTTCCTTTTTTGATATTTCACTATAAACCAAATCATAGCTTATAATTTCTTAAATGCTTAAATCCTTTAACTTGTCTAGAAAATGTTGCGAAACACTTGCATTCCTAAAACGAGTTTATATTTCGCGCTGTACAGAGAGTCTAGACTGGGCATACCATTTATAGCATACTAGTAGGGTTGGAAGATGCAATTGCATATGAATATGAGAATTACCTTTGTTTGGACTTATTGCCAAAGTAATTAATAACTGTTGACTTAGATGAAATAATTGTACATTTACTTTTGTTTGATAAACAAACTTTAAAGCGATATATTTTCGGTGAGCAGAATGTTGCTAGGGTGTCAGTTAGCCCTTTTGTAATTTAGGTAGCAAATTTGATAGCTATCTTGCAAAACTGCTATTCCATGCGCATGTGCCACACCAGAAAAACTTTGGTTAACAAATCTGAATTGATTATTTTGAGAAAAGTTAAACACACAACTTTAGAGATTATGAAGCAAATATTTTGGAATTGAACAAACAGTTGACAAACAGTCTCGCATAAAGTTTTATTTTTCAAGGCTCTTGTTACTCATTCACCAAAAATCTAAACTAATAAGTGGCTAAAAAAAATTGGCTAAATGGCCTGTTTTATTATTAAAATAATTAATGTCATTCCATTAACTACAAATGTTATCATCAACAGTATGTACATCAAATATACAGCTCAGGACAGACCACAGAACTCATTCGATTGAAAAGCGATTGGCAGCACTAGCAATGTCATGAGGCATTCATGCTAAAATGTATTAAAATTTTTTATTTAAGCAACTAGCTTAGTGCATAGTCTGCTGACAGTCTTATTTCATTCATATCTGCTATTTATGGAGGCGTTCACTAGGTAATGTGTTAGTCAGTTAGTCAGTTGACATTCACTTTAATGGGAATCCATCAAGAAGCATGCTATTGCTCTTATTTTGTCAAAATGAAAAGATCGACTAGTGTCAGTCATGTTGCTTTATGAAAACGTGACCTATATGTACATATATGGGGCCAAGTGTCATATGGAGGACGCCCTCTCGAGTTCACAGTATAGTCGTAATGACATATACATGACAAATGACATCAAGAAAAGGCATTTCAAGATGAGTTGGCAGCACAGATATTCAGATTTCAAAATCGTGTTTTCTTGTACAGTACAAAGCAAAATTTCAGTTTGAACTTTCCCTAATGTCATTACAAACAAAACCTAAACTTTGAAGTTTTGAATGAATTATCTATTCGCAATGATATAACACATATTAACAGTACTTGTATACTAAAGCTGAAATTCACAACAAAACAGTGATTGGAAATTACCAGTTTGGCTAAATGTTTTTTTTTTCAGACTGGATGTGGGGGGTGGGGGTGGCTCTTATGTACAGTATTCAAGTGTACATGCCAACATTAATGATCAGAGTATTCGATTTACAAAACTGCAAAATCTTGATGACTGTGTCTGTTGACTTTATATCTAACGTGTACATGTTGGCCAATCCATGTACCTTTTTTTTTTTTATTTATTTTCAAAAATTTAACAAAACCAAAATTAATAATCAAATAAATCAAATTTCATTTGAATAAACATGAACACGCTTTGAGATATCAGTAGAACAACGACAATCGACCCTTCTGTGCTTCGCATACAGAAACTAGTAAAAAAATTCTAACAGGCAAATTACAAATAACAATTACAAAAAAAATCTCATGCTATCGTTTCAACATCTGCTTCAAAAATCAAATTGTCTACGATTTTCACTTTGAATGCGGCTGTCATATGACATTGTTGACAACGGAATACAAAACTGCTATGTTTTTTTGTACGAGACTATATTAAATTACGCTTACCTGCGTTGCGGGTATTCCTGACGGAGTTGTTAAACTTGCAGTTTCCTCTCCGGTGTCCGTGCCTTCTGTTGTATTATATGTCATCTCACCTTTCCAGAAGAAACTGTAGTATATTGCTAGTATTATTGCAGCTAACGAAACTGAGAGCACATAAGCGAAAACTGTCGCTAACCGCACCCATTTCTTGTTGGTTTTCATGTTCGTCGCCATGTTGTTCACTCTTTTGTCAGCGCCGCCAGCCGTACCCGACGAGTAGTTGACGTTCGGTGTTTTGTTCTGCGAATTATGGATGCTATCGGGCATATTGTTTTCTTTTACCATGCTCAAACGTTATTTAAAATCGCCACTCCAGTGATAAGGTGCTTGTCAATAAGTGTTAGTTACTTATTAACATGAAATCTCTCGCTGATAAACAACGAAATACGCTGTGCGATAACTGCAAGCATCTATGATCTATACAGGATCTCAGCTGCGTTTGTGTGTGTATTTTTTACTCGCGGAAGTGACATCATCGGATTCGTCCTCGTTCTCATTAATTATGAGGACATCGAGGATTCATTGTTGAACCTACATATTTTGCTTTATGGGCTCTGAAATTCATTATTATGTTGAGTGGGACAAATGTAAAAATGCGCTTAAATTACTGCACAGAACACCCTGTTTTCTCTGATATTTAATTTCACTGTTTTGAGCATATTTATGGAGTTTTGCTGGTGAAACAATGAGCTCTACTGTTTAACATGATAACATGTGAATTCCATTTAGCTTATTTCACTAAGGGTTCGGACAGTTACTTCGCCTGGGGTGGGTCGGTCGATCAGTAGGGGGGTTAACCCTGTTTTTGATTTTGCAAATATGGGGAGTCACCCTGTTTTTAATATCGTGAATAGGGGGTCACCATGTTTTTAGGAATTCACAAACGCGCTTATGCGTATATTTTTTTAAAATTTATTTCAGAACAAAAGATAAAAAAGTTAATCGTACAAATGTGTTCTCAATAATAACTATCACCTATATTGCCTATACATTTTTTGATGAAAAAAAGTTATAGGCTAAATATTTTAGGGTTGAAGTTGCCAAATAACTAACAGATTATGCAATGCGGCTTGAACCCCAATTATACTGTTAAGTTGTAAACACATGATCCCATGGGCTGCTGATATCAGATTATTTTATTTAAAGTCTGAAGTCACCATTGTATAAGATATTTACTGGATTTATCCAATTATAACAGGAGACGGAAAGACAACACAGCAATTAGTACAAAGAGCTGTGACAGTTTTTGTTCAGCAAATCAAAAAAGTTAAATTTGTGAAAATGTTGTTATATAAATTAAAATAAATGATGAAAAATAAATAAATAGTTTTTTCAACTTGTAAATATGCATGTTTAGCTCTGTAAAATACCAAAACCCAACACAAATTTAAGCAAAAATCAAAGTTCCCTTTGTTTTCATAAGCACAGATGTAAAGCATTCCTGGTCTATAAGATATGAAAGATATTTTAAATTCAAACCGCCTAGATTCAAATCTTCTTTTCCTATCTTATAAGGACGTTTATCAAGTGAGTACTCCACAGCTTCGCAATTATTTACTATTTTTAGCAGAATAGATACCCCCCTCCTTCCTGCAGCCTTTCTAAAGTTTCTGTAGTTGTTTTTTGGCTTTATGCTTCCCCTCCCCTTCTAAGGTCTATTAAATGCAAACACTAAAAATTATGTCAAAATTATGGCAAACCATGATATTTTAATACATTTTGTAATCATGTCAGAGCCAAAACTGTTAATGTTTCTTTGTTTTTTCAGGGGGGTCAGCATGTTTTAAAATACTTTTTTTATTTGATAGGGGGAGGGTCAACTGAGATTTACAGCTGGCAAAAAGGAATCTGCCGACCCCCTAGGCCGAATTAAATGACCAATTCCTAATCAACGAAAATAGCAAAATTAAAACCCATTGAATAATTAATGCATTCACACTATCATTTAGGGACAGACCACTATATTTGAGGACTTGGTTTTTGTTATTGATTATTATTATTATGTTTTTCCCATTGATCAACTTTGCATATATTTTTTTGAAGCTGGATAAATATCAGAGTTATTTTTTCACACCAAGTTTTTTTTTTTACGGTTTCAAGATCTAGCATGAACCCGCCAAATATGTGGTGCAATATATTGCATCTATGATTTCCCATAGTTGTCTTTTACGAAAGATGACAAAAGTGGACTTTAGTTTTAAAAGGATTGAACCTTAATATCAAAGAAAACTTGAGACGGACGGTGTTGAGAAATTTGAAACATGAAATAGATAGAAAATATTAATTAAATCAATTAAAAATTAATTCCAAACATTCATACACACTGGTAGCGCTGATTTTTGAGATGCACATTATTGAAGTTGGTAATACAAATACTAACAAAAAACTATATGTAATAACAAAAGAAAATAAATTTGATGTATTAGCTGAAAATGATCTAATTTCTGGAAAAGTAATATGCTAATTGTATTTACACCAAAGTTATTGAATGTTAATTTGTAAGTAGACTATCACAAAAGTACAAATAACCAGCACCACAACCGTGGTAACTGCGTCTTGTTGGACATGAGTCTCATGCACGTATATGCGACGGAGAATTCGTCCTTCTCGTCGTCATCTCTTGGTTACTCGGAATTGTTCTCCGTTTGTCAAATCCTGGCAATGAATCTCGAGAATAGCAACTCGTTCATTTCAATAACTATTAACGCAATATATTCAGTTCAATGCCTCCCGGGCAGAGTCTAAGCTCCGCCAACATCAGTCAACATCTCCATCTTTATTCAACTACTCAACAAAACACACATCACCGTGACGCTATACATTTCACGTAGGCTCTGCATGCAATATTTGCCAAAATTTGTCTCAATCATAGTAGTTGTTTGTAAAAATGTCAATTGCGTCTTTTCTGTTAACGACTTGTCTTGAAATTTATCATTTCCCTAGATTCCAGACCCGTACAATAATATTGGCTGAATACACCTTTTAAAAAGATGGAAGAAAGTTCTACAATTTGTTTCTGATGGTAGAAACTGTTTTAATGAATACATTGCTCGGGCTGCTTTATCTGCTAAATTTTGCTTGGCTTCAGTGTAGCATCCATTTGACTTTATATTTATACCCAGGTAATTGTGCATTTCTACACAGGTAATATTAATTCATCATAATAGAATTTGTTTGTTTTTGTCAGTGTTCATTTACCTGGAGTTTACATTTATGACAATGAACCTCTAAACTATTAAAACTATTTAAACTAGTGCATTTTGTAGGCCATCTTTTTGTTTCTGAGATTAACAGTGAACTTATTTTATAGGATTTAGTAATTCATTATCTAGAGGGAGTATTCAAGTCACAATCCTGTACAACTCTCTTTTTCGTTTCAAATATGGGTGTAATTTTATTCTTGAAACAAGTACATACATGCCTATCACAATCTTTGATCATTAAACGAATTATCACATATACAGTATGTACATAAAATATATTGTTTATACAAAGATATTAGAAGATGTTATGTGCGACAACAGTGCCCTGGTGTTGTCATCAACTGACCTCCACTGATTGGCTAACTCCTTTACACGACGTCATCAGTGTGAAGTGTATGGTAATTATGTTAGGGTTGTAATAATGTGACGGGCAGGCAGACATATAGGTTCAGAGTCTTGTAACGTGAACATCGTGATTCCCATTCCAGAATGAATGAATTCCCTCGTCTTGATATCTGGGTCTACCAAGTATGTCGTTAGGTTCCCGACTTCCCTCTTTCTGCTATACTGAGTTATGATACCACACGTTTCCTTCTTATTTATAAATATTTATAAATTCCAAGATTCAAAAACATAATACGCAAATTTAGGAACATACTTGGGGATTCGGTGGATTCGAATTACTTCAATAAGTTATAATGCTACGAGTGAGTTGATATAATATCATTTTCCAATCCTAACACCTGAGAGACTAATCTGATTACTTTGTTGCTTTCTTGTTGAGAACTAACATTCTGATTACCAATCTGATTGGGGTCTTATCTATTTCCAGTATTCATACCAATCAAGACATTTTATTTTGATTTGGATAAATAAACAAGCAATGAATAAATAAATTGAAAGAGTGATCTGTTCGTGGTATATTTCGTAGGGAATTCCAATTTCATTGCATTTTAACTTGGGTCAAGGAACAATAAATAAATAAATAAATAAATAAATAAATAAATAAATAAATAAATAAATAAATAAATAAATAAATAAATAAATAAATAAATAAATAAATAAATAAATAAATAAATAAATAAATAAATAAATAAATAAATAAATAAATAAATAAATAAATAAATAAATAAATAAATAAATAAATAAATAAATAAATAAATAAATAAATAA